GAGTGGGAGAGGAGAGGAGAGAAGGGGAGGGGAGGGGAGGGGAGGGCAAAGGGGAAGAGAAGGGAGAGGAGAGGAGAAGGGGAAGACAGAAGGGAGGGAAGGGGAGGGGAAGAGAGGAGAGAAAAGAAACTTGTCCATAATTATAGTTACATAAAAATAGAACATTCCTTATAAGAAAATGAGTGTCCCATCACTGAAGCCATTCAAGCATGGGCTGAACGGCCACTGGGAGGGATGATCTAGAGAGGACTCAAACACTGGAAAAAATAATTGTAAAGAATGAACTAAGATTCCAGGATTCTAGTTCCCTTTCTTACCAGCACAGGTGGGGCCATTTGAAGTGAGAAAGAACAAATGAACAAAACCCATGGTCCAAATACTCTAAATCTACAAAGCAGATCCTCACTTTATGAAAAGGGTTCCTTTGAATAAATAACCAAAGTATATTTTAAATGTTTCTTTATAAGCCATTAGCTAGCTAACCAAAAATAAAGAAGAGTGGAAGAGTTGAGGGGCTTCCATGTGAGGCTGGAGGAACCACTGTCCAATGAAACCCAATCATAAATGGAGAGCTAGTGTTGGTAAGAAAGGAGCCACAGATTCAATTTACCCACAGTGTTCCTCAAATGCATCTATTCTGTTATGACAGATTATTAAAATGGATTGCACAAAAATCATAAGAATTTGGAAACTTCACCCCTTTGCCTTAAATCACAAGGCTTCATCCTCTCAACCCCCCAGCTAGTATCAGTCAATAGGCTGTACTTTTTGACACTTTCAGAGAAAGACAGCTGAGCCTTGGCTGAAGGTTATCTTAAGAACGTATCACAAGAAAACACAAACTCTGTCGGGCTGGTAGTAATCCAGATTAACATTCATTCCCCTTTCAGAGCAACAATGGATTTTAACCACTTTTTCTGTTTCATAAATACTACCATGGCTCAACACATCTATGAGGAGACACAACACTACCCGCGGCTTCATCCTGTTTGCTAACTAATTATATCAACAACCTGAACCAACTTAACACCATACAAAAACACAGCTGATTTAGCAATCTGTAAATTATACATGTACATAAATCTGTACCAAAATGTGCTGCGTTTCTCTCCTGCTAATGTGCATGGATTCTTACTGGCACCTACAATTGTTTGATATAGGTTTCCGAACAGTAAAACATATGTTCTGCCTAGAGTGGGACCATTTAGGGTAATATTTTTGTAGTTTCCTGGCACTAAGGTCTGCCAGCCTTCCTAAGACAGATCTCCTACTTGCTCCAGCAAGCATTCTGACAGTAAGTGCCTACATATTTAAGCAACCATCAAAAAATATTCTGGAACAACACTTTTCCAGCCATGAATATGAAGAGAAGCAGGCTGGCTTTGCCTATGTGGCAACAGAGTCAATAGAAGTATTTGAAATGATCACCGACATGATTATAAGCAAAATCTGGGGCATTCATTATTCCTGTTGCCTACTTGTAACTATCCAAAAAACAAATGATCAAATCTCCCCTTCAAATGGTATTCAGAATGTGTCAAAGAAAATTAAACCAGATTTTAGTCCCATCAAGACCAGTAAACACCTTGAAAATATTTTCTTAAACACAGTATCAAGTCGAAACGAGTTACAGCCAGAAAACATCATGTATGGGCAAGGTTCCTAGGGCCCCATGCACTAGAATGTAACTTACTAAGGTTAAGGGGGGTTTCTTTTTTTCTACCCATCCCCAGTGTTCAATAAATAGGCTCAGTCTTTGCTGAATGAACAAACCAGTCACAACTGCTGATTAGTCCTTGAGCTGCCCCTTACTAACCAACTGTGGGTAAATGACTTAATCTGAGGAGTCTTAGTAAAATGGAGACCCTGCACCTCCTTTGCTGGCTTATGAGGATCAAAGGTGATTGTCTATGAAAAGTGACTTAATACTTGAATGGTAACCACCAGTTATCATGCCTACACTTCAGCTAAGCCATTGACAAAGGTGAAAACACTACCCTCCCTTGGAAAAGAATTAGCTTCTCTTCTGCCCCATTACACTGTTTGGATGTGGTAATGTGGCTGTTAGCCAAAATGGATGTTGTTCTTGTTGTTATAACATTTTATTTCATCTCCACAGGGAAATGATGGTTCTCTAGAGAAAATAATGGCAGTACACGGAAGTCATGGCATGTTACATGGGCCATAAGGAACATGACTCTGGGGTGAAGGGGCTTGGGGTCTTATCAGTTCTGACCTTAAATATTTGAGGAAATGCTTTGCTTCAATTTCTTCATTGCACACTGATGGGGAAAGGAGGGGCAGAGGAAAGAGAATCTAAAGGCTGTCTCTTCCTACAGCTCTATGATATTCCAGACAACAGTTATTCAAATGCCCCAAAACAAAGCCAGTTCTATTCCATTAGCATATAATAAGAGTTGTTTTTTTTTTTAAGGATGCTGCAAACAGTTCCACAGGCTGTCATAATGGCGAGAAACAATATCTTCTGAAGAACTCTTGTCTCGGGCACTGTCTGCCTGCCACTTAATAAGTCACTTACTATGCCCAAGACCCAGTTTTCTGATCTGTAGAACAGAAACAATCATACTGCCTAGGACCACTAGGAAAAAATACCTCATAAAATGACCAGACAGTATTGCTATTTAAAGGTAAAATGCTATTTAAAAACTGTAATGTCCCAAAAAAAAGTCTGGTGGATTTTAGGAGGAAACGATCAATATTTTTAAATAGACTTTTTTCCATCACTGTAAAATAATGCGTGTAGATATTGTGGTATTTCCAAGAACCCACATTTTTTTTTCTATTTGTGTTGAGTAAATAGGATGAAAGGGATCATTGAAGACTTAAATCCTACATTTGAAGATCAGAACCTTTTCTTCTGATGAAATAATATTTTTAAAAGCTGATCCAACTTTCCCAAGATGTTTTATTGTCATTGTTGTTTCCAGTGTTGTTTGGTTGGTTAACTGAAGTCAAGCTGTTGGAATTGGTGCTGAAATTAAAATGTCAGTGCTAAAAATATTTCCAGCCACTGAATTCTATTGACATTCTATATATGTTTACAGATGGGAAGTCACTCTAAGATCAACACAACTAGAAGGTACTCTGCCTTTTCAGCCCCAGGAAATTTTTTTTTTAATTATGGTGTTAGTTCCAGGAAGGTCCTCCTACAAGCCCAAAGAACTTTGTGACTGTTACACGAAAGATCCTTCTACTGTTTTTCCACTCAAAAACATAATGTGGTATGCATTACAAACACGGTTTCCCCTCTACCCTAAACACCACTGCCTCTCCACCAAAAAATGGAATTGTCATTGACATTTATGAGAAAGTTGATGTTCCTGGCAATGGAATCCCCAGATCTGCAAGACTGTCTCCATATCCCCTAACAGGCCAGTAACAATAGCAATCACAGCAAATTTGCTCTCACAGTGATTTTATTTAAAAATCCACGCACAACTCCAGCTTTTTTTTTATGGCAGTAGAGTTCACTGTGACTGTTAAGGTACAGACTGTCATCCTCTTGAACCTTCTTGGCACAGCTGTGACCTTGTTCTAAAAGCCACCCTAGTTTGAGTGAGGAAGACCTTGAACGAAAACATGACTGACCAGAAACTCTTCAATACTCTTATTCTTAAGAGACACAAGATAAATGATTGCGTCTAATAAAGTATCTTAACAACACATAATTTGCTTTCCTAGTTGATAAGTTGTTATTATAGGATATACTTAAATCCCTTTTTAATGAGAGTATTTCTCAGTAGTATAGATTAAGTCCCTTTTCAGATAATCCTGAATCTCTAACGAAATCCAAATAGAAGCCCATAATTTTAACACAAGCCCCTAGAGGCTCTGAAACTGCGATGGGTACATATTTTTAAAACCCATTTCCTGAGTTGGCTCTTCATGCACGTCGTCCTAATAGAAGAATATCCTCTGTCCCTGGAAGAAGAGGGGTCCAGGAGCCTGAAAAGCGCATCTCTAGGCTTGGCCCTTTTTGGTTTTAGGTGATGAAGGGTGTACCCTGTGCCTCCCAACTGCCAGGATTCCGGTTTGCCCAGCAGGTGCTTCAGCCAGGATGCTTCGCCGTCGGTCCTAAAGGCATTTGAAAACGTTTCCCTCTCCGTCCCTGCCCGGAGGACTCTGGCCTCCCCGCGCTTCAGGCAACTGTCCACGTCAATGCCCCAGGGAAAGAGAAGAGCAAGGAGCATCACTGGTTTCTTGGGTAATGGATAGATTTACGGGCTTGCTGAGTTCAAGAATTTATAGGTGAGCAAGATGTGTACGCATAGAACACTGCTGTGGTTTGGAAGAGAGGATCTATGACAGCCTTGTACCTGTGATCCCTTGGCTAGCCCTGCACCTGTGCCCTCCACTTCCCTCCAGGGTCCAGGAAACTCTGCCTCTCCTGAGCTTTAACCTCGAAGAAGGGGAGTTTGTGGGTGAAGAAGTGGAATCCGACAGCCTGCAGCAGGTCTCTAAGTCCCCACGTCCCTACACCTTGGACTTCTCAGCCTCGGGGATGGAAGGTGAAGCAGCCGCATCCTGCCATCCCTCGGGCGGCTCCCGGAGGTGCTCGCCTCTCCGGCCGGCCCTCCCTGGGGAGAGGCGACGCCCTGGGCAGCGGCCGCAGAGCCCTGAGAGCCTCGCGGAGGGTGGGCAGTGCCGCCCGGAACGCGTGCCGCTGCCGCCGCGCCCGGCGTCCCGGCACTTTTCCCAGGACTTCGCTCACCCGCTGTCACGCTCTCCGGAGATGAGACCCAGAGGGCGCCAGAAAGGCCAAAAGGCGTCCCCAGGAGGGCTGTCCTCGTGGGATGGGGGCCCATCAGCCCCCGCCCCGCCCGGCCCACCCTTCCCAGCCTCCGGGAGGCAGCCCCGCGCCGCGCCTCGCGGCGGAGCCCCGGGTACCGCTGCCTCTGCCGGCGTCCCACGGCCGGAGGCGCCTGAATAAAGGACACGGTGGAAAGCCTGGGTGACCGAAATCCGAATGCACCTCTTACCGCTGGACCGCCGGACAATATTCTCCAGAAACGTGTTTTGCGGGGCCACCAGTCCCCTCCTGCCCCCGGCCATGGTCATCCTCGCGGCAGGTTGGAGTCCGGGAGCGTCCCGGCGCGGCTTCACGGTAGCGGGGAGCTGGACGCGGCGCCCGCGCGCGATCCCGGCTCGAAGCGCCCCATGCGCCCCGTGGGGACCCGGGCGCGCAGGGGCGGCGGCTCCCTCCGGCGGCCACCCTCGCGCCCGCTTCGCGCCTCCTCCCCGAGGCCCGCCTCGCAGGGCACTCGCGCGGGGCTCGCCGCGCCGCAGCCGCTTCCGGGTGGGCGGAGGGAGCCGGGCGCCGGGGTCCGGGGCGCCCCCTGCCGGGAGCAGGACCCCACCGCTCGCGGGAGACCGGGCGGGGGGCTCCCGCCGCGGCCCCGCCACGAGGACGGCCGTAGGCCGAGGCTGGGTGGGCAGCGCCTCCCTCTGGGCACAGCCAAGGAATGTGTCCGGGATGCGCCCGGGCCTGGGTGGAGAGGAGCGCTAATGAGCGGCTGCCCGGGTGGTTCGCTCCCAGCAGGTCGCCGGGAGTCTTGGGGGGAGCCTGACCCGGTAACCCTCTTCCTTCGCTCTGCTTCAGGCAGGGCCCCCGGGACCCCCGAGGCGCCTGGAACACCTCCTGACTTCCCCCAGGGTCTCTTAGCCTTGTTTGTGAAAGTTGCCCCACCTTGATTCTGAAGCCGCTGTTTCACCGGTAATTAATGAACTCGTACTGTCAGAAGTCAGACTTGCAGAGTGACTAACTGAGCTCCAGAAGAGCTGTCTTGGGTTGTTTTTCAAGACAACCAAAGGCACAAATGCAGACTCCTGACGCTTAATAAATGTGCTGACTGACTGACCTGAGTTCCACTCTTATCCAGCAAAATCTTAGTAAAAGGCCAAGAAAACATGTATATATACACAACTTTTTTACCGGAAGCACAACCTGTTATGATCAGTGTGTAATCCTAAGAAACAGGAACAAACTGTCTGACAAACATCAAAACTGTGGGCTTGTCTCTGAAGGCAATGTTGGAATGAGCATGTGTGGAGCTCAGCTTCCCCAACATTCAGCATTAATGAGTAACTGCGACCTTGGCTTGAAGGACAGTCCACACTGTGCAAAATGAGGTGCTGGTCTTCATGCCTGCCCCTTCCCAGCCTCTCCCCTCCCCGCCCCCACCCTAATATAATGAAAAATCACACATACCAAAAAAAAAAAGGTTTCTGGGCAGGAGCCAAACAACTCTCCTTTGTTTGCTAATTTTGGGAGATTTCTTACCTTGCACATACTCTTTACCTGTCTTTTACTGTATGTCCCACTGGGTGTAGCCAGACACTAAGTCTATGCCCCATAAAAGGAATGAGTTGATAGTTTTCCAATTATTTCCAGGCTGGATCGACAGTAGACAAAATATGGAGGAAAAAAAAACTGACCTTACAACCTCAACTGTTGGGATTAACCACCGGACATATCATAATGTACTGCAAATACTGTCAGTTTATTAATTTCAAAAACAGAAGAACAAATCTTGTCCAGGAAACTCTGAGTTCCTATGAAAACGAAACACAAATATATAGAGGACAGCACTCTAAATTGTAAAGTACTCTACCAAGGTCAGACATCATTAGAGTGACTAAATAAATTGTGCCATTACAGACATCACTCTTTGTTTTATATTGTACAGACACAAAGTAAACAGATGGTGGCTGTTAACAAAATTAGATAAGGCTTGCGTAGGCTTTTAGATGGAAGTAATGATACACTTCTTCCCTAAGATAACATTCTACCCTTTACTTACATCAGTCACCCAGCTTAGAACCGTGATTTCTTAAACCCTAGCTCCGTCTAGTGGTTCTCTGTTCTATTACAAATGTGGTAACAAGCAGTGGTTGAACTGTATTGGGTGCTGAGCTAAATAGTGGGTGTCTGCCCACTTCATTTGAATAAGGCTCTTAAGGTCATGTTATCTACTGCAGAAACATGCCCAAAGGGAGATTCGTCATGACAATATTAAAAACCCATCAAATAACCTCATAATCCTGCTTGTAAAAGGAAGATAAAGAAAAGAATAGGGCAAAAACTGTCAGAGAGAGTTAATAAAATTTCTCAGGTTTTAATGAGCTCTCATGTTTTGTGGCTCTGATAAAAAGGAAACAGATGATATTCATTTGAGATGAGAGATGCTAAAACCTTGCTAGGCTACCTGATGTGAAAAAAGTAACAATGATATATTCATTTTCATTTTAAATGTACTACTACGATGATCCTCATCATGCACTAGGCAGTTGCATGTGTGTGTGGGGGGGCACCATTTTGAGTACTACAATTTTTAGTGGCACATTCAAAGAGATTAAAAGACCAAACCCAATAAAAAGTCAGCAATTTTTATCCACCATCACTACTCAGTGTGACAGTATCTCACATGTCCATGAAAAGCACCTCCAGCCATTTCCCATTCCCTTGGCTGACACCTAACACTGCCTGACTGTGGGAATAGGATCATGTTCTTCCTTGTCCACATTCTCTTTGGTACTCACAGGCCAAGATTGCAGGTGTTCAATAAACACCCGGTCCTTGATGAGACTGGTTTGTCAGTATGCTATGCTTCTGACCAAATTTGTCACCTTCTGTTCCCTATGCCACATTCAGTTGCAGGACCAGCTCAGCCTGCAGTTCTGTCTGAGATCTGTCACTGTAAAGTTTAATCTTACAAATTTGTGAAAATTTGGTAACACATTTGAGAAGGATTCACAGTATACCAATCAATGTACCTTGACAAGCCAGGAGAGAGTCCCTGTATTTTTATACGATAAGAAAAAGCCACTTTTCATTGAAAAGGACAACTTTAAATAACTGTGACCAGAGTTTCGATTAAACTGCCTCTGTCCCTCATGCAGAAAGTGGGCTAGGACTGTCTAGAACTTCAACCAAGAAGCATAGAGTCTAAAATGAGAACTTCTAAAAGTTTTACTAGCCTTCCTTCCTTCTCAGGGATTCTCCTCCTGTCCTCCCTCAAGATCGTTTACTCTTCGATTATAATACATGTTTATGTTAGCATCACACAATAGATGGTGAGCACCTTGAAACTAAGATGAACTCTACCAATCTCTGTTCTCATACATGTAAGCCATGAAGTAATTCGTGAATCCACAAAAGGAACTGATAGTGTTGGAAGCACACTACACAGAGAGCATGGAGATGGAGGTGTGCAGATTGGCAGAGAAAAGAGTGCAAGAGATGACAGAAAAATCTCTACGCCCAACAACAACAAAAAATATATCAAATGAGAGGAAGTTCATGCCGTGCACCAGAGGGGACAAATGGCATCATGCAAAGGCAGGAATTACACTTTTTCATTCTATTAAGACCATGAGGTATGGGTGACGGACGTCAGAAAGCCCAGAATCCCTCAGTCACAGGAAAGTTTCCAATGAATCCAGGAAGGCCTGGGAGCCAGAATGGGAAGGAGAGATGCTTCATCACTGGCAAACAATTAGCATCATTAGGAGAAACTGAACCTAGAGGTGACTTCATCTTCTCGGCCATCAGGAGTGAAATATCTAAAAGAGTGGGAATTTGTAGCATGGAAAATTTCAGCTTCGATAACCCAATGATAGAGTTATTGTTTATTTTGTGTTATTTCAGTTAACAAAACTTCTTTTTTAATATATTCATAGGAAAAGAGCTGGGCAGGCCATATCCATTGGAAAGACCTGCCCTATACTATGGATACCTCCCCCCAGGTGCTGAGAGAAGGGGGAGGATCCACTGCAGTTATGATCGTCCATGAATCTATCTGGGGAAAGGATGCACCAATGTGGGTATTACCCTCAACTGTAAGCATTTTTAAATGCTTGTAGAATTGGGTTGTATCCTTCTAAATACCCAAAGCTATTATCCTTCTTTCTTATTTCTTCTTACCATCAGACAACAGGATCTTTTACCATATTCTCCCTCATGGAAAATAAAAGCCATTTACAACAGTCTCATAATAAATGTATGAATTGCTTCTTAAGGATTATCAACATTTTGAGAAATGTTTCACGGAAGGACCATCTTTCTTATCAACCACAAACACTTTCTGAGGATCAGCTTATGCTGAGAACTTGATAGATCCAGCTGATAAGGAGGGAAAAAAAATGATCTACTGGAGTCAGGTCAGCATTGTGGTTGAAAACATGGGTTTGGGAGTCAAATATAAACAGTTCGAGACCCAATTCTACCTCCTACTAGCTGTGTATTATTGGGCAAGTTACTTAACCTCTCTGTGCCTCTTTTTGCCTCTATGAGTGAGCATTAAAACAGTAACTTTCTTAAGAGTACAAGGATTAAACAACAACAATAATAGCTAAACACTTAATATTTGCCACACTGTATAATAGCAGTTTGTATGTTATTTTTTAACCCTATAAAACTCTGTGAGGCAGGTTCTGTTATTATCCCCATATTACAGATGAAGCCATGCATGTAAGGTACTTATACAATGACTGACACATACTACATGATCAATAAATGTTAGCTATCATTGTTTTCATGTTATTACAGGTGGTCTTGATGTCAGAGTATACAAGCTGGATAGTCAGGTCCACAGGTCCTTCATGACCTTTCTTATGTGGGAGAAGCACATAGCAATATCTGTCACCCTTGGACACTCTACTTAGTGGCCCAGAAGGAGGGAGATTTTTTTCAGTCCCCTCTATAATAGCTCTAGTATTTTGAATCTATTTAGTATAAAATAAGGAGCTATTGGAGATGTTTCTATAAAGCAATTGCATGATCGATGTGTGTTCGAAGAAAATTGATCTACCAAAGTTATGTAAATTAAGTATGAATGAGGAGGAGAGAGGCAGAAACACCAGCTAGGAAATTCTAATGTTATGACAATAGGATAAGAAGAGCCCTGGTGAGAGATTTTAGAAATTTTTCTATATACAAGGGATGATGGTCTGCAGTTTTCTTTACTTATAATGTGTTTGTCTGGTTCTGGTATTGGAGTAATGCTCATCTCATAAAATAGTTCAGAAATATTTCCTCTGCAAATCTCTGGGAAAGTTCATGGAGAATTGGTATTAATTCTTCGTATTGTCATATATTTTATTTATACATATGTGATAAGTCCCACAACGCATTCTTATTTTTATTATTATTATACTTTTATTATTACCTTCTAAGGAAATGTAAATAACAGTTTTAAGTCTCATATATTTCCCCTTGAAGTTACCATTCATAGTGTTCTTCATTCCTTTGTGTTACTC